CCCACTCAAAATCAGTCCTTAAATGTCATCCTTAAATGTCTACTTGCTAATGTTTTTATTGTGAATCTTATGATACCTAGAGTTTGGTGGGGAGTGAAAATATATTTTTTTCAGAATCTCTAAAAGAAAATTTCAGGTTTTGTTTTCTTTAGGTGTGTAAGTCTTCATATACACTAACATCTGCACCCAACAGCTCTGGCTAGATGCTTTTGATGCTGAGTATAATGCCTCATTAGCATTTCCTTTCAAATCACTTAGCCTAATTTAATATTTTTTCTACATTTGATTTACTACATGTCAGATATAATTGCACTTTTGAAAAGCCAAAAAACATGTCTCATCAATGGAGGAGATAAGCTATGTATTTACTCAATGAACCAAAGTACTTTAGGAAAAACAGCCATAGCAACAAAAAGAATCTATTTGAAAATTAGAACTTCATTTGTATTTTTATTTTTGTAATTCAGTTTTTGTTCTAGTGAAAGGCTTGGAGTTAAGAGCCGTGCAGAGCAGTGGTTTATTCAACTATGGGACAACTTCAACATGGATAGAAGCAATGCAAACTTCTGCAATTTCCCCAAGATGTTGTGTTCTCTTCTGAGCTTCCTATTGCTGCTCAGCAATACCAGCCATACCAACCCTCCACTGTTCTAGTCCACGCTAGATGAAGCTGACACATGCTGGTTTCTTTAAAAATCACCCTTCCCTCTCTAGTAGAGAGGGACTACATCTGCAGAACTCAAGCTTTTGTTACAAGGGGAAAAAAAGATATAAAGGAAAGAGGAGAGGGAAAGAAAAAAGAAACCTTAAGATTCTGAATACTATTTATTACTGATAAACTCTGCAAAACTATCATGGCATATCAAATCATGAAAGTAACAGGAAACACTTCCTTTAATCACAAAGGAACTTCCCCTTTTCTCTCAGAGGAGGTCCCATGTTGCACTGACTCCTGTCTCTCAACAGTCAGATCCATTTCTTCTCGGAGAAAATATGGGCTTCCCATTTCTTGGAAGATCTTAGCACACATCAGATCTCTCCCATGAAACAAAACTGTATATTGTACAAAGAAAAACCTGAGGAGTTGTAACTGGAATTCCTTTTGTTTGGTAATTTGTGTAGACTTACCTTACCTAAGGAGAAGTGTCTACATATTTATAACATATTTGCTAAAACACACGTCTGGCTCTTGGTTTGTAACATGTATACACTATTTCCACTGCGCAACCTGAAGAATGAAAGTCTGTATAGAACAAATTTCAAGTACTACAAAGAAAAACACAGTTCACAGTAAACTCAGCACTCTAGTTCCTTAGGGTCACAAACACCATATTACTGGAACAACAGAATTTCTTTCCTGTAGCCTTTGACATCATAAACATTTTTTTTTATTTTTTTTTTACTCCACCAGGAAACAACATTTGATCAATTTTTACCTTATTTTGATAAAATCAAATAAGTTCTCAAAGCAGAGGAGCATGAACATTCCACATGTTCTCCAAATGTCTTTTCATACAGTTTAGGCATTTTCTTGTAAATGAACATTGTACATTAAAGCAGTAGAATATCCATTAAAAAAAAAAAAAAAAAAAAAAAAAAGCTTTATATTTATTCTTTTTCTATATCTTTATTAACAGCACAAACAATAGTGGGGTACTATTCCCCCACTACTATATATTATATGAATATCTTCTTCCTTGAATAAGACCAGAAAGAATCTGATTTGCTGGCTGCTAAAGAACATCAACTTTTCCCATTTACTTATTCCTTATCTCTTAAGCTACATTTTCTACAAAAAGTACAATTTAGGATTGGTTTTCTTGTTTCTAAAATTATAAACACATCTGCTCTCCCATTATTTTCTTCCATTGATTTAAGTCCTCAAGAGAACATATTTCAAGGACTGAGTCTTGGTTGTTGAAATACGGTTACTTCATTTTAATTTCTAAAATTCGCTGACAGTTATTAACGGTTATTCTCTGTTCCCCAATGTCTAAACAAATAAAAAAAACAGCTTTACAAAAGTAACCCCCCTAACATGACTTTGAGATGTCAGATTTACTGTTCTAATCACAGTGAGAGGGATACTAAGAGTCAAGCTATCACCCAGTATATCCTCCTGTCCCATGCAAGATAAAGGTCATGAGGCCTGACATATCTAATTCTTTAATCTAAAAAACACTGTGGGAATGAGCATCAGAAAAAAGGAAGGGGAATGGAAAATTGGAAAAAAATATAATGGTTTTGAAATACATTAGTTACTGCAATCTGTTTGCTATTTCTAAAGTGAATAGAAAAAGAGGAACTAACATTGCAAGCATAGCATGGCTTTAGAACAGTTTGCCCAGGAAGGATGTGGAATTTATAAAAGGTTTCAAAGAATACAGGCCAATAACTACTTCTGTAAACACTTAAATAGAAGTAACATTTTCCCCTGTACCTACTTTCTTCAAAATCAGTGAAGATATTTGCATACAAAAGTTTGAGAATCCTCAACTCTACACTTACTATTCCCCCAAGCCATGACTAAAGCAGGAAAACCAGAAAATTAGTAGTCCGAGTTATTTAAAAAAAAAAAAAGAAAAACAAAAAAGAAAACATTGTGGTGATTTACCTACATGAATGTGTGGTGATTTGTTTTGTTAAGAGAGGTTCAAAACCTACAACTCTATTACTAATTTAATCACTTCTGATTTTTGTTTTTCTCTATATGTACTGCTTTCAGAAGAGTAGAACAGCTTGTCTCATGCCCCAGCCATGACAGAGAGTGAAACAAACAACAACAACAAAATAATAATAATAATAATTAAAAAAATAAAAATAAAAAACAGCCACCCCGAATTCCCCACCCTGCCCCAAAAAATAAGATTAAAAAAAAATCAAAAACGTTGAAGGAACAGTACTTTTTCAGGAAGAGAACATTCATCTAGAAGAAAATTGCACATTTGTTAGTGCTGAAGCCAAAGACATCAGTTAAAAGTCTTACAAGAACATTTCAGATCCTAAACTGACATAGGAATTTTTTGATAAATTCCTTCAGTCACAAAATAAAAATGCTCTCTACAACCAGCTTAAAGTCTATTTAGGGAAACCAATTTGGTTAAATAATAAGGTTAAAATAATCTAAACAATACTTTAGGATGGATAGATGAACCAGAACAAGACGGCAACAAAACTGTAACAAGCTCTCTACCCTCAATAGTATGTAGATCTGACCAGAACTGTGTCATTAAAAGATCCCTGGAAGTCCCAGAAGCAAAGATGATGCCAGAAGGAAGAACTTAACATCCAAGACTGGGCAAGAACTCAACTTCAACAGGTATAATGACAGCAGGTTTAATAACCTCAAAATTTAGGGGCTCATCTTCTTCCCTTCCCCCCCACGTTTCCACATTTTACAGGCTCCCCCAGGAGAATATAAAGAGCATACATGCCTAGGAGGAGTAAAATGAGTTATTTTTTTCCCTTCACTTATTCCATACATTACATGATCATTTGCTCCCAGACAACAACGCTCTGGAGCATACTGGCATGATATTTCAAACAGTAGCAAGACTATTTATCTGAAAACTGAGACGTCAGCTCTGTTGACTGCCACTGCTCAACCGGAAGATAATCAGGGGCATATTGCACTGACTAAGACTTCCAAGAACTCATTAACCGTATAATTGAGAGTAAAGTTTAAAAAAAAAAAAAAAGTTTTGATAAGGGCAACATATAAAAATATCAGCTCATCCTTAGGTACTTTGCTCTATGTTATGAGTCAACATCCTGCGAGATAATACTACATCTCATCCAGGTAAGCCTTTATTTAGTATATAACCACATGTAATCACTTCAGCACAGGGAGAGTACTAATTCTGTTGTATGTTAATGAATCTCAATACTCGTTTCCCAACACAGTATTTCCTACAACTGCTTCTCATCGCCTTTTTTCCCTGCTCCTTATGTGAGTGCCACTTTGCCTAACAGTGCCAAGCCAGTCTAGATGCCAGCAACAGCTGCACTCACAGCACCACATCCTAAGCTAAAACAGCTTTACAAATGCCACAGTGCTGCTTCGTTATTGCTTTCTGTGGTAGAAAAGGTATCATAGACAGTGTGTTGAACTCTACTTGCTGCAGAAATAAGAGCTCCGAAGCCCTGACAGTGTTTAGCAATGATATTCTCTGATGCTACCTGTCTGAAACCCATGTCTGCCACACTCAGCTTGCTGTGCCTCTGAGCATTCAACTCAGTCAACACCTGGAGTCACATCCACATATCAAAAAGTTGGGAGCAGTTTCATAGCCGGTCAGTGATATGTCACTCTACACCAGCATGCCTGCTGGAACAACTACACAATGGAAGAACCTTCATCTGCCCTTTCCTTCAGCATGCAGGTCATTTGCTTGCAGGCAGGCAGGATTATTTAGCTATTATGTGTGGCAAGATGATTGAAAGCCTAGAAGACCTACTTTTAGCAGGTCAGCCCCAGTGTTGCAAGGGGTGCCCACAGGGATTCACATGCAAATAGCTTGAGAAATGACTGATGTGGATGAAGCAGGGGGGAGGGGGAATTGCTGTTGACATGGCAAGGCCCCACATATCCATGAGAATAAAGGCAGCATAAGAATTATACACATTTAGACTTCAGCATTATTCATACCCATCACCTCTCACCATTGTATGAAAGCAAACCACAATCAGTGATTCAGCAACATTGGCCCTCTGTTCACAAGCTCTCCTGCTGAATGCAAATGCAGTGAACAATGAGTAATTTCAGTTCAGTTTTGTCCTTATCCTCCTTAGGAGGAAAAACTGGCTGTTCCACTCACACAGCATAAATGAAATATTTCCTACAGTTCAACAGTTAGGAGTGCAACTGAGATTCTTAAATTATTCTGCTCTCACTACAGCAGCTGTTCACAGCACAGTGACACAGGGATGAACAGGCAAGATACGCTGCCTAGAAGACAGCCACTTAAATAACATCATTGCAGTCAATTTTCTTTACTTACAACAGACAGCCTCTGAAATCTGTTGAGATGCGTCATTAATAAATGTTAGAACTTTATGATAAACCTTGACCTCAGATATCCTGTGGGATTTCCTGGCCTTGTGGCTGATTTAATAAATACCTGTGGTGCGAAAAAGAAAAAAAAAAAAGTGCTTTTAGTTGCTGAGTGCCCATGAGGAGCATAAGACACTGGAACAGAAGGGGATGCAAAGTAGCTGAACAAAAGGAAAGGACTAGTGGGAGAATCTAAGCTAGGGATAATGTTGACGCTTATTCCAAAGCAGTGTTATATTAGGTAACATCAATCACATTAATTCTTTAGAAAGAGACACCTAGTGTCAAGTAAACCATTCCAACCCTATTGCAGTCAGGGTGGTATTGTCCAGATGGATCATAATGGTCTGACTGGTGTTCACATCTCTGTGCCCCTCCAAAATCCCATAGGAAAGTCTAGTGTATTTTTGTATGTCTAACTTCATGCCAGACCCATGCTAAGAATTTAGTAGTCTTTTAACATTTTGCAGCCTCTCCCTCCAACTTCCTGAGCAGCCATTCATGATAAATCAAAGGGAGGCTACAGTAAATTCAACTTTGGAAGGGATATAAGGAAGCCAAGAGAGAAGTGTGTAGTAGGGCTCTGGGAAGGATAGGGTAAAATTAGAAAATATTTAGATATCCAGAATGAAAGCCGTAAACAAAATCCCACTGAGTGTGTATCTTCAGTTTACAGCTCAGAACAAATTGTATCAGAACTGTCTGATCTGTTAGACACTTTTTAAATTGAAATAAAATTTGGTATAGAAAAATTTTAGAAAGGAACAGAAATGGTAAGAAAAAAAAAAAAAAAACCAAAAAAAAAAAAACACAAAACAGACATTAGGAGTCAATGATGTCAAAGGCACATAAAGTATCTAAAGTATCAGTTTTTAAACCAGAAGACAGCAAGCAATTATTTTTCATAGCCACTAGGAACAGGAAAAAAAAAAAAAAAAAAAAAAAAAAAGCTTATTTTGCATTAACTAACACTTAGCTTAAATACTAGAGGAAATTCTAAAGGCCCTGAGAAAGACTAGCTGGGGAGCCTGGAAAATCAGCCCTGAAGGTTTTCAAGAGCAGACACTGGCTGAACATGTGTCAAGGAGGGCTGAGTCCACTTGACCTCACATCAACACACAGGCACAGATGAACAGGTCCCTGGGATTTCTTCCAGCCCACAGCCCGAGACTCTGTGTAAGGGCAAAAAAGGAAGTATATTATCTGGAGAACTAAACAAGATTCTGTTCATTTTTGATTAACAGAACAGAATGGCCCTGAACCTTCAATCACATCTTTTAAAGCAGTCACCAGACTACGAGCATTCCCAGCACTGTAGCTGAGGAAGGGAATGGTAATTTCTGCTATGATTTGAAGTAATTTCTCTACCAGACACTCCTAATAATCCAGCAGCTTCAACATACACTCACTGAATACTGCTACTCTTTTTTTTTTTTTTTTTTTTTTTTTTTGCAAAGGTTGCAGAGAAACCTTATCAAGTTCTTGAGAAGATTGTGTTAAGTGAGGGAGGTCTGATTCATTTATGAGCCCTAGAGAGAAAAAGTAAAATAAAATCAACACTGCCCCAGGACAAGAGCTTGCTCTCTAAAGAGATATAGTTGAGAGCTAAATTTAGGGAGGAAATCTTAGTGGGGGCACACCAAAAATAAAACAAATTTGTCTGAGCTTTCTTTCATGAAGTTCAAATATGTACAACCTATATAATCAACTTTCTGCTACAAACAGCAAGGAAGGGGAAAGAGAGATACTATTGCGCTGACCAATAGGGAAGGAAGAGTTCAGCCCCATAATGAAGCTAAACACTACACAGAGAGCATTATTTGTAAGCAGAACAAAAAAATAAATAAATAAAAATAAAAAAAATTGAAGTTGTCGCTTTTTCCTCTCTCCTTAACACATTTCATTTTGAAGTCTCACACACACACACTTTGGTCTTTCCAGAGAGGTATTCTGCAGACCTCTGTTAGTATTTGTACAGTACTTCCAACTGCTGTTCCACTCTCAAAATGGATTATTTTTTTTCCATTTCACCTTTAGACCTATGAAATTATCCTTCTAAACAGGACTTAAGATCAAAAACATCTTTAGTTTTTCAACCAAATTTTCACATTTTTTGTTGTTTACACTGGGATCATTAAGAACACTTGCTTTCCTTTTTAATTTCTTGTACGTGCAGCTCTCAGTACTTGGGTAAATAAAAACAGCAAAGCCTTGCATGTTGGTTTCATGCCTTTTCCTGCTATTTTTCGTTCTCCCTGATGACCCACCCCACCACTCACAAGTGACATGCATTTCTCTTGGAATTCTAGCTCCGGACCTCCTGATTCACCAGTGGTGGAAGCCAGCCCTTCTGAAAAGGCCTCTCACCTTCCACCCTACCTGAGTTGCAGCCCAGTCCCGCTCCCTCCCTCCCACCAGGCCAAGGCCTCCTTCCTCCTGGTCCACACCGAGCACCAGGGTGGCCCCAGCTGTTCTGGGAAGCTGCATGCTTCTACTGCTTGGCCCTTCGCTGCTGCCAGGCTAGCAGAGCATTTTTCCACAAGGTTTGAAATTCCCCACAACCACACGAACACCCAGGAGGAAACATCCCACACTCTATCTGCAGACTGATCACCCAGCCCACACACCAGCGAGTGAAATACCACCATTTCCAATGGAGTATGGGTCCAGGCTACATTGCTAAACTAACTCCTTCCTGACAGCAACCCCAGTGCATGACCACAAGAAACAGCCAGGCAAGCTTTTGTCTAAACACTGGCAGGAATTGAGGGTCATTGGCATCAGCCACGTGTACATAAAGAACTCCTCTACAGGCAGACCTCGCCCCACTAAGTGGTCACAGGTAGACAGTAGCATCTCCCAAGGCATTACAAAACTGTGCAAGGCCAGAAGTCATAGCAATTTGTTTGTGCCAAACTCTTACTGTACATGGAATACGCAAACATTTAAAATTAACTTTTCTCTTGTTTTCCAGCCACTTAAGAAGCCTTAGAGTAATATTTTTACTAATTCCCTCCCCAATGACAAAAAAAATTGTTTTTTTTTTTCCTTAAAAATATCATCCCAAGAATCTTAGCTTCCAATTTTAATGTTTTAAGAAATATATTAACATTAGCGACTTTTCATAGCCAAATTAAGTCACCCAAACTTATTGTAACACAAAAACTTTTGTTTTATAAATTTATATGTTTAAACAGCTTTTTACTAAACTAGGCTTCTATACCAACGCAATTCAGCCTAGTATATCCTGCTAGGCAGAATATACTCTGTGATGTGTTTTCAGTTCAGTAAGCGCCAGGGAAGTCATTACTCTGACAGCAATGCCTCTTCCAGCTACTCTGATCCAATGTCAACAGTTTTTCCAGCCTTCCAGGAGAGGTCCATTGACCTCTGGTGGGAAGAGTTCATGAATAATTGAGTGATCAATAAATTCACAGCAAGGGAATGAAAAACATGGACTACACATCCAAACTGTCCATACTTCCCATGAGCACACACATCCTTTTATCAAGATCCCCTCCAACAAAAGCAAATTTTAGGATGAAGTATTTATGCTTTGCAAAATTATTCTCACAAGCTTCACAGCTCATTATCAAAGAAAGAAAAAACAACCCATATAGAAATAGAGGAAGAATTACTTTATTTCTGCACACCCACCTAGCCCATCTCTGTTGTCCATACTCGGGATGTATGAGGTGGTTTTGTTTGTTTGTTTTTTAACCTTAAGCCCTGTGGTGGCAAGTGATGATCTTGGAGCGATGGGCAGGCAGCATTCCACTCCTAGGGGAGCGGCACGTCTCCTAACTGGGCTCTGGGCCATTCAACAACCAGCCCTGTAATTAGCCGGGGAGCATAGAGGTGAAAGGCTGTGCCTCCATCTAAGCCAGTCTAGGAACTGGTAACTCGTGCACGAGGGTTTCTGTTGACAGGTGTTAGCCAGGAACTCCTCGGCATGCAAGTAGGACTGCAGGGAGCATGCTTCAACTCGATTGCCAATGTACTTGTGAAAACTGAAAGCGTACGCAACAGTAGGTTGGCAATTCAGAAAGCATTTGACATCTACACCTCTCTGGAAACAAATGAAAGATTATCGTTTTGGTGAACAGGATATTTGCTGCTTCTCTTGAAACCAGTAAGCCTTCAGTATGCAAAGAGGCTGTCAAGGCTGCACAGCAAAAATAAAAGGATCTGCATCCCTTTACTGTGCCAGCAATTATTAGAAATTAAGACAAAAGATCTCTGTGTCTGAACTGCTGCCAGTTTATTATGGTTTGAATTAACCATCAGAATTTCACCTGGTCACCAAACAAACTACACTCAGCAGCGCTTACGTGACACTTCAGCCCTGCAGCTCCTCATGTGTGACGCTTTTAGCAGCAATTCGGGTGTCTGAATGAGCCAGCTTGGCCAAATATGAGCTGCTTTGACACAGGCAAAGCTCAGACCCCTTTTCTGAAATAAATCCGTTGTTTTCCTGCCGGAGGGTATGACTGCAAGCTTGGGTCTTCTGCTCAGGTCCCTGCCATCATGCTGCACCAGGTTGAGGATGCAAGGCTCTGGTGACCTTTTGACAAGTCAAGAAGTATGCAATGTTTTCTGTACAGCTACTACACGAGACCTCATGTCAGGCTTAAGAAAAATAAAACCCTCTTACACTGTATTTCAGGTTCACTCCTGGCGTTGGAGTCAGGAGTGCTCTAAAACAACACGTTCTTGGCTTCCCAACAGGACAATGCAAGACAAAAAGCCAAGCCTTGCACTAATTATATGTTCCCCTGACTCAGGAAGTGGGAGCCTTAAGGACAAAACCCAAACAGCCGTGACTCAGTGGCAGCAGCATCATGCAGCACTGTGGCCTTTGCTAGCACACTGAATTTTAAGTATTCCCATCCCTGTACATTAAATGCTGAAATATTCTGCTCATGAACTACCAAGGGAAAGCTTAACCCAATATAATGGCATAAAACAAGGCAGCACATCACTTTGCTAAACAAATGATGTTTGTCCAACGTGAAGTTGTTCTTTTCTATGGGCTTCGTGGTATCTCGGTCTTAAACTTGGAAAGCA